AAACATTCATAATTTGAAATTAATTCAATTTTTTTTTTAATTCATGAAAATTAATAAATTTAAAACATTTTTTAGAATAAATTTTGATTATTTTCTTAACCTAATAAATATTCATAATTTGAAATTAATTATATGTTGAAATATCTTTTTATTAAAAATTGATGAAAATAAATTTAAAGTTTTTCACAACAAATTTTCATTTTCTTCAACTAATAAACATTCAAAATTTAAAATTAATTCAATGTTTTTATTAAGAATGGATGAAATAAATATAAAACATTGTTTTACGATACTTTTTTATTATTTTCAACTAATAAACATTCATAATTTAAAATTAATTCAATTTTTAAACATCTTTTTATTAAAAATTAATGATAAATAATAAATTTAAAACATTTTTCACAATAAATTTTCAATGTTGAAACTTTTTTTATTTAAAAATGGATGAAAATTAATAAATTTCAAACGTTTCTTACAATAAATTTTCATTATTTTCTTTAAATAATAAACATTCATAATTTGAAATTAATTCAATGTTGAAACGTTTTTCTATTAAAAATTGATGATAAATAATAAATTTAAAACATTTTTCACAATAAATGTTCAATGTTGAAACATGTTTTTATTTAAAAATGGATGAAAATTAATAAATTTAAAACTTTTTTCACATAAAATTTTAATTTTCTTCAACTAATAAACATTCATAATTTAAAATTAATTCAATTTTTGAACATCTTTTTATTAAAAATTGATGATAAATAATAAATTTAAAACATTTTTCACAATAAATGTTCAATGTTGTAACATCTTTTTATTTAAAAATGGATGAAAATTAATAAATTTAAAACTTTTTTCACAATAAATTTTAATTATTTTTTTCAACTAATTAATTTAAAATTAATTCAATTTTTAAACATCTTTTTATTTAAAAATGGATGAAAATTAATAAATTTTCATTATTTTCTTCAACTAATAAACATTCATAATTTGAAATGTATTCCATGTTTTTATTAAAAATGGATGATAATTAATAAATTTAAAACATTGGTTCACGATTAACTTTTATTATTTTCTTCAGCTAATAAACATTTATAATTTGAAATTAATCCAATTTTTAAACATCTTTTTATTAAAAATTGATGATAAATAATATATTTAAAACATTTTTTATAATAAATAATAAATTTTCATTATTTTCTTCAACTAATAAAACATTCATAATTTGAAATAAATTCTGTTTTTATTAAAAATGGATGAAAATTAATAAATTTAAAACATTTTTTCAAAATAAATTTTTATTATTTTCTTCATCTAATAAACATTCATAATTAATTCCATGTTTTTATTAAAAACGGATGAAACTTAATAAATTTAAAACATTTTTCACGATAAATTTTTATTATTTTCTTCGACTAATAAACTTTCATAATTTGAAACGTTTTTCTATTAAAAATTGATGATATATAATAAATTTAAAACATTTTTCACAATAAATTTTCAATGTTGAACCTTTTTTTATTTAAAAATGGATGAAAATTAATAAATTTAAAACGTTTTCCACAATAACTTTTCATAATTTTCTTCAACTTAGAATCATTCATAATTTGAAATTAATTCAATGTTTAAACATTTTTTATAAAAAATGGATGAAAATTAATAAATTTAAAACATTTTTCACAATAAATTTAATGTCAAAACATGTTTTTAATAAAAAAACTAATGAAAGTCAATTTTCATTATTTTCTACCTCAGATTTGCACCAATAAACTTAGCGCCAGAATTCTACTTTAAGTTAACCATGTTGCCAGTTTTCGGAAATTATCTAAAATCTACTGAAAAAATATACTCAATTGTACGCAAAAAATAATATTGTTATAACTTTGTTATTAACAAATAAATTAAATTTCTGATGCTTCCGTTTATATTTATAAATACAGTGGTGTAGTCATGTTTTTTTTTTTTCAAAATCCTTTTGAAATTTAAAAACAATCATAGTATTGCCTTAAAAATGAAAAATAATGAATGAAAATTTGTGTTATAAAAAAAAATGAGATCCGTTAATAAAATTTAGATTTTACAGTGGTCCTTCATTGTGGGTAATTTTTTTGACATACATTAAATTTATAGAGGAAGATTCTGCTATGTTAGAAGACGTATTAAATATAATAAACCTTTATTTAATTTTCATATTTTTTTTGATTTTGGATAAATACTCGCATCGTAAAACTAATTATTTATCAAAAATAAAAATACCCATTGGCCTAAAATAAAACGTTGTACAGTAAATAAGTAAAATTTCAACGACCAACTTTAGACAATATTCTCATGATTTTCCGTTAGTTCGATTATTATTTTTGTAATCGATTGGTGGTGTACAGTTTTGGTGTTAAGAAAAATGAATAACGAACCGATAATAATAATAATAATAATAAATTTTATAATATGCGTAGATAAAACAAAATGTAATAGATCGGCGTCGCTGAATCGGCATTGGTCCAAATGAAGTGGTCATTTAATAAAAACGTAATGGTAAAAGGTTAAATGGTAATATAATTGAGGAAAAATCAATTTTCTCGAGTATGGTCTATAACTGAAATAAAATTATTCATTTAAAGAAATTTCAATATAAATAAATATCAAAAATGTTATTTATGTCAGCAAGATTTCTTAATATTCGAATTCGTACAAATTTTAACGAATTGTTGTCTTAGTGAAAACGTCATTATTTAAAAAAAAAACAAATTCTATTTCCGATAGTTTAGAAAATGAAAAAGAGTATTTTTATAAAAATGAACATGCTTGTCAATAACCATTTTTAGGAGCATTTTTATAAATGATACTTTTTTAAATGCCATTTTTTTAAATGAGCATTTATAGAAATGAACGTTATCTAAACGATCGTTTTTATAAATAAATATTTTAAAAATGAACATTTTTATAAATGATCTTTTTATAAACGGGCATTTTCTGTAATTGCCATTTTTTTAAATGGGCATTTTTATAAATGATCCTTTTTTCAAATGAACACTTTTCTAAACGAGCTTTTTCATAAATGAGTATTTAAAAATTAGCATTTTTATAAATGATCTTCTTATAAACTGCCATTTTCTATAACGGTCATTTTATAAATGAACATTTTCCTAAATAATGAGCCTTTTTCTAAATGATAATTTTTTTAAATATTTTTTTTTTAAATAAGCATTTTTCTAATTGATCGTTTACTAAACAAGCATTTTTCAACCGAATATTTTAAAAATTAACATTTTATAAATGCTCTTATGAGCGGGCATTTTCTGTAATTGCCATTTTTTAATGAGCATTTTCCTAAATGAACCTTTTTCTAAATGAACATTTTTTGAATGATAATTTTTTTAAATAAGCATTTTCCTAATTGATCGTTTTCTAAACAAGCATTTTTCAAATGAATATTTTAAAAATTAACATTTTTATAAATGATCTTTTTATTAGCGGCATTTTTTGTAATTGTCATTTTTTTAATGAGCATTTTTATAAATGAATATATTACAAAATAAGCATGTTTATGAGTGACCGTTTATTAAATGGGCATTTTTATATATCGTCGTTTTCTAACCGAGCATTTTTGTAAATGATCATTTTCTAAATAATCCTTTTTTTATAAGTTGGCATTATTTATAATTGCAATTTTTTTTAATAATATTTTTTATAAATGATCGTTTTCAAAACGAACGTTTTTATAAATGAATCATTTAAAAATTGGTATGTTTGTGAATAACCGTTTTCTAACAGATCAGTTTTATAAGGAATCATTTTCATAAATGACTTCTTTATAAACGGGCATTTTCTATAACTGCTATTTTTTAAATGAGCATTTTTATAAATGTCGTATTCTAAACTAGCATTTTTATAAATAAACGTTTTAAAATAAGCATGTTTATTAATGGCCAATTTTTAAGAAGGCTTTTTCTGTTTTCTAGCAACATTTTGATGAATGAACATTTTAGAGTCATTACAAATAACATTTTTTTTATAAGCATTTTTATAAATAAACGTTTTAAAAATGACCAATTTTTAAATAAGCTTTTTTCTGTTTTCTGACAACATTTTTATGAATTATCATTTTAGAGTTATTACAAATAACATTTTTTTAATAAGCATTTTTATAAATGATCGTTTTCTAAACGGACATTTAAATAAGCTGTTTTCTGTTTTCTAGCAACATTTTTATAAATGATTATTTTAGAGTTATTACAAATAACATTTTTCTTAATAAGCATTTTTATAAATAAATGTTTTAAAAAGGGCATGTTTATTAATGGCTAATTTTTAAATAAGCTTTTTTCTGTTTTCTAACAACATTTTTATGAATAATCATTTTAGAGTTATTACAAATAACATTTTTTTTTTAATAAGCATTTTTATAAAATTTAATGATCGTTTTCTGAACGAGCATTTTTATGAATGAACATTTGAATATTGGGCATATTTGGTAATGACCATTTTTTAAAAATTCGTTTTTATAAATAATCTTTTTTAAAAGTGTACATTTCTTATAACGGCCATTTTTTAAATTAGAATTTTTATAAATTATTATTTCAAAAATTAGCGTGTGTGTGAGTGACCATTTTTTAAAACGGTATCTTTATGTATCACAGTTCTCTAACGGGGCATTTTTATAAATGATCATTGTCTAAATAACTTTCTTATAAATGGGCATTATTTATAATTGACATTTTTTGAATAAGCTTTTTTATAAACGAGCGATTTTTAATGAAGCATTTTTATAAATGACCATTTGTATAATAAGCATGTTTGTTTATTACCATTTTTTAAAAACACGTTTTTATGCTTAACCGTTTTCGGACAACATTATTTTTACAAGTAAGCATTTTTTGCAATGGCCTTTTTTAAATTAGCATTTAGAAAAATAATTTTATTCAACAGTTAGCATGTTTATGAGCTGGGGCGGCTCGTGACCAAAATTTTGGGGGTCACAGTAGCAGAATATAGATCTCGGTACAGATGTAGGTAAGTAACTGTCAGTGTTTTAGAAAGGTATATTATAAACTTTCTAAAATACTGAAAATTTTTTCATACATCTGTATTGATATCTATATTCTGTCACTGTGAACCTCCAAAATTTGGGTCACGACCTGCCACTGTATGAGTAATAATTTTTTTAAAAGGATATTTTTGTTTCGTTTTCTAACCGAACATTTTTATTAATAATCATTTTAGAGTTTGTAAATTACCTTCTTATAACTGGACATTTTTCATTAACTGTCATTTTTTAAATGACCATCTTCTAAACATATTTTATTATTGGTTTTTCTCTAAATGAGCATTTTTGTAAATTACCGTTGTCTAAAAGAGCATTTTTGTTAATGACAATTTTCAAAGTGAACATATTTTTAAGAATGACCGTTTTATAAATGAGCAATTTGTAAATGACCGTTTTCAAAATCAATATTTTTAAGAATGGCCGTTTTATAAATAAGCATTTTTGTAAACGATAATTTTCTAAATGAGCACTTTTTAAAATGACCTTTCTATAAATGAGCATTTTTATAAATGACTGCTTTATAAATGAGCATTTTTGTAAATTCCCATTTTCTAAATGAGCATTTTTAAGAATGACTGTTTTATAAATGAGCATTTTTGTAAATGACCGTTTTCTAAATGAGCATTTTTAAGAATAACCGTTTTATAAATGAGAAATTTGTAAATGACCGTTTTCTAAATCAATATTTTTAAGAATGTCCCTTTTATAAATGACCATTTTTGTAAACTATAATTTTCTAAATGAGCACTTTTTAAAATGACCGCTTTATAAATGAGCATTTTTGTAAATTCCCATTTTCTAAATGAGCATTTTTAAGAATGGCTGTTTTATAAATGAGCATTTTTAAGAATGACCGTTTTATAAATGACCGTTTGGCGTGTGACCAACGATTCAGCGGCGCCGATTTAAAACGCATAGTGACCAATTTCGAACTTTAACAAAAATGAAGAAAAAAATGTGTAAATGTTATATTTTTCGGGTCAGTTGATTGTTTCTTAGTATATGAACAGTGTTGAACATTGAAAAAAAAAATAACCGCGTATTTGTATAACTGTGAAGACTGAAAACATAAAAAAAGAACTAGTTTTTATTGTGTTATATATGAAGCATTATCCTTATAGAGTTCGGCTGCTGGCGTTTTTAGTGATACCTCCATCCCCTTTTCTACGCTTTCGCTCGGTTCGAGATTTTTCCTACCTTTACAACGCGTACTTATATTTGTCTTTTTTTTATATGGTTGTGATTTTTCTTATATTTTTTTTACCTCAGGTGTAAATGCCACTTCAAATATCTAACGTAAATATTATTAACGTTAGTTTTGCACGAAAGTAGCTAGAAGATAGTTAAAGGCCGTTTCACACGCAGCGGTTTTAACCGACGCGTTTTTTGCGGCAAAAACCGCGAAATGGTAGAAATGTTGCGTGCAACGTTGCTTTGATACATAATTATTTATACTAATTTACAGATAGTTGCAAAAAAGTTAAGTAAACAATATTAAATCAGACGGTTTTTCTTTGTAATCCAAATAATATTAAATATTGAGTTTCTGGGGTAATTTATTTGACATTGGCAACACTGCAAATGTAATAAATAGTTATTCGTTGTAAATATTATCCAATTTTTTTCGTTACTGTTTCCCAGCGCCATTTTAGTATCAAACTACACATACAGGGAGAACCGTTCATCTAGGCCTATTTTTTCGATGTGATATTTTTTATACAGTACAACGATATTTTTTTGCAATATTTATCTATTGATATTTGATCGCCTAATTAAAAATACGTTAGTTTTTATTAATATTTCGTACATTCCATATTTATATGTCTAAATATTTATTAGAGTTAGAAAAAGACAGGACAGGTATTTGAAGTGGTAAAATATTTATTTCTGTATTTTATAGACGTTAAGACGCTATTTGAAACTTTTTATAAGGAACGTTTAAAATAGAATTTTAACGAAAAAAAAATCAACGAAACGAGGGTTAATCTAAAACCTTTGAAAACGCCTAATTTTTTCCTAAATTTCTGTTATTATAGATCGACCCTTGTAGTAATGATAACATGGTATTTTTTTTGTAAAGCTTATTATCAGACCAATTGTATCAAACTGTCGGAGAAACCATAATTTTAAATATAGCCAACTATACGTTTAAAATGGAATGATTTTTGACGAGTGATATGATAATTTTGACATTTTCAGAGACTTTTGACGAGTGACAAGACCATTTTAGTGTTTTTTGACAATGACATGACAATTTTGATATTTGAAGTCATCGTTACTAATATTTTTGTGTTTCGACATAACTTGTGTTATTTAAATTCATTTTTGTAACATTTTCAGCATTTGTAATTTTGTTTTTACATCTTCAGTGAGTTTATTTTCAGTGATTTTTGACGAGTGACATAACCTTTTTCGTCAATTTTGACGAGAGACATGACAGTTTAGACATTTTCAGTGACTTTTGACGAGTTTCATGCAATTAGTGTTTTTTTTACTGTGGCATGACAATTTTGACATTTAAAAGTCATTGTTTCTAACATTTTCGCCATAATTCTGTGACATTTAAAGTGTTTTTCTAACATTTTTGGTATTTGTAATTTTGTTTTTACATCTTCAGTCATTTTTCAGGAGTTACAAGATAATTTTGATATTTTCAGTGACGTTTGACGAGTGACATAACATTTTCAGTGAATTCTGAGGTATGGTCCGTTATTAACCGATTAGTAACCAGGATTTTTTAACAGCGGTTCCTGAAAAAAACTAATTTCTTGGTTACATTTGGACCACGGTCGAGATTTGTCACTTTTGTGATAGATTGACATTCGACCTGATAGTAGCCGTAAAAATATAACTGTTAGTGAATTGACGTTTGAGTCACCATTTTCAGGTAACCGAGTCCCTAATTTAACCGATTTTTTAGGTATGTCAAGCAGAGCGGTTAGTTTTGGACCCAGTAACTGCTATTGCGGTTAATAACTGACCCTACCCTTGAGTGACATGACAGTTTTGACATTTTCAGTGACTTTTGACTAGTGGCATGACATTTGTACAGACTTTTGAATGATACATGACATTTTTGCAGACTTTTGACGAGATACCTGACATTTTTACAGATTTTTGATGAGATACACAACATTTTTGACATTTGAAATATTTTTTTTTAAATATTTTTGAATTTGATTCAACTTTTTTGACATTTAACTTGTCTGGACGTTTAAAATTGCTTTTGTTCCTTTTTTTTAACAGTTATACGATTGTTGTAACTATTTTGACATCTGACATACTTTAAATATGTGTGTAACGAAATTTTCTTCTGTTTGTAACGAGTTTTCCTAACATTTTTAGAAATTGTAATTTTCAATGAATTTTGACTTTTTTTAGTGAACTTTGACAAGTGATATGAAATGTTTGTCATTTTCAGTTATTTTTGACTAGTGGCAAGGATTTTGTTAACATTTTCAGTGATTTTTGATGAGTGACGTGACAATTTTGATATTTTCAGTGAATTTTACGAGTAACATAAACATTTAGACATTTTAAGTGACCTTTACCAGCAGTCTGATATTTTTTTGTCATTTTCAGTTGTTTTTGACTAGTGATAAGGATTTTTTTTGACATTTTCAGTGAATTTTGACGAGCGACATGACAATTTTGCCATTTCAGAGACATGATAGATTGGACATTTTCAGTGACTTTTGACGAGTGAAATGACATTTTTAGTGACCTTTGACGAATGACATGACAATTTTAACGAGTGACATTACAATTTTGACATTTTTGTGTTGATGTAAAAGTTTTTGACATTTAACTTATCTGGACGTTTAAAATTGCTGTTGTTCCTTTTTTAAACAGTTAATTGTTTTGATACCTATTTTGACATAATTTGAATACGTCGGTAATGAAATTCTCGTCCGTTTGTATCAAGAGGTCTGATACAGCCTAAATTTTGCCTAAATGATTTTACGTATTTTCTAAGTGGTACTTACGTTATACTTACGTTTATTTTATTCAAGGCAAGGTATCTCTCTAAGTGCAATATTTGTATACTTTTTAGGTATTTTCGAAATACGGCTATTATAAAGTTTCTTCCAAGTGATGACATCACGTTTTTTCATTAGTTTATTCAAACAAGGACTTAAATACTGAATGTTGACTATTTTTTTAGACTTTAAAAGTCCTATTAGTGCCAGTGTCATCGACATACTCATTTATGATGCTAGCAACTTCTTTTTTTCTGTTTTCTCCATACTTTTACAATAAAATATTGAAAGATGTTATTATGTGGAAGACGCAGTATGTTTACTTAAAACCTTATCATTTGCTGAACTTGTATATTTTTTCGAGGTTTCAAGCAATTGTTGACGGTGGCAACTAACACTGATTTTTAAAAAATGCCTAAAATAGGTTTTAAGTGATACTGCGAATTACTGTGCACTATAGATATCCTTAATACAGATATATTTAGACGGCTTTTATTTATTCTATAATTTATTTACTATATTCTCAGTATTTCTCATACTTTCAATACTCTTATGATGATCTTAATTTGTAACACGCACTTAAAATAATCAAGAGAAGAGATAATTATGCATCAATATTTTGCTATTTTTATATGTATTGAGAAATATTGGTGCTTTTTGAAATCGCCTAGAATGTAATTATTTTTGATTTGCTAATTAACAATAAAATGAACAGTTTTGTGCCCATGGCTCATTGTGTGCACTTCTCATTCATTTGCAAGAAAGTTACGTCACTTGTCAGCTTGTAAGTTGCATCAACTGTCAAAGTCATACGTCAGTTTGCAATAAAGATACGTCAATTGTCAAAATTGAAATGACACCCGATAAATTGTTCTTTTTTAGACAATTTCAATGAGATCAAGTGAGAATTACAGATTGCTGCATCAAATATTTCCATAATTTAAAATTATTGGTCAAAAATAATTATATTGTTAGTTATGAATATCTCTTGTATATTTAGGAGCGTGTTCTATTTTTAGACTGATTCGGAATTTCATTTTTGCAACTAATTTTTGTGATAGTATTTATTGTAATTATTTTTATAGTGCCAATTTGTGTATTTTTTTTTAAATGCCATATATATACACACACCTTTTTCTTGCCATTTTTATTAAGCTTAAAACACCAACCAGTTTTGTCTATCAACGGTTCTCTTTTTTAATATTAAAACTTCGAGAATAACGTAAAAAGTTCCTCATTCTTTGTTCCTAAAAAAAAGGTAAATCCAATTGTTCAGGAATTTCGTGTACCTACTTTAATATATACTTAAATTGAAAAAAAAAATCTACAGGGTTATGTAGAAGTGTTGAAAGTCCAATAGAGGCTGCTTGAAAAATCAGTCTATCAAAAATTTAATAATGTGATAGATAAAGGGACTCAAAAACACTTCAGCACGAACCTGTATAAATGACATTCTCGATTAAAGTTTAATATTAAAAAAATGACCGTAGAATAAGCTTTAAAATTACCCAGTATGTTTTGTATAGTCGCGAATCTATGCAGATTGTCCCGAAATCTGGATAATAAAGTGACAAAAACTTGTATAAATAAAATGTCTTTATTTTTATCGCAAACGAGATGTCGGGACAACCTGTATGGTAAGCGTAAACCGACAGTAAGTTGGCAAGAATATTTTTGGAAAAATTCGTTTTCGTAATTTATTTTTCCAGTACTTTAGAAACCGACAGAAATCGAATTTTTCCAAAAAACATACTCAACGGTTGAATGGTCCAGTTAACGTTTAAAATTATTTGATTTCAACAGAGATTTTGCGATAGGAAACAATTAAATGAGGATAAATTTAGCTGTTATTATGAAAAATAGTTTTTCGCAAATATCTTCAAAACGTTTAATTATACGATGAAAATACTAAATACCTTTTTTGTAGAGAATAACTTCCTCTACAATCTTATTTTAAATATGTTTCTATTAAACTCATATTCAATCAGTTATTACGCTTAAATTTAATTTCGATTCATGTTAATTGGATGGTAATAGGGGTGTACTGCAAGGGTTAGTTCTTGACCCGATAAACTGAAAATTGTTTGAAATAAAAATGATAGAGAATGCTATATAGAGTGTTCCGTAATGATGTTCCAATATTTTAACTGGATAATCTACCAACCATTTAAAAGGGATTTTTCTCATTAAATTTTGCAATTTAAATCGACTTTTTTTCAAACAGGTTCTCTTGTGTTAAAATGTCAATATAAATTATATCGATTATTTTAGATCAATGGATTATTTCCGATTACTTAATCGATTGTTTTCGATTAATCGGGAGATCGATTATTTTCTATTAATCAGTTATTTTTAAATAATTGAATAATCGTTAAATTAATTATTTCTGAACAATCGGATTATCGATTATTAGACTAATCGATATTATTTAATTGATTTTTTAATCTTATATTGGATTATTAATTTATCGATTAATAAATATCTAAAACAATTACATATTAATTAGGTAATCAAACGATTATAATATCGAATTACCGATAGGACTGTTCATTTAACAAAATAAATAATCGATTATTTTCGATAAATCGGTTTTTTCGATTATTCTAGATTATTTGAAGTCTTCTTTACTAACATTTTTGTGTTTCGACATAACTTTGTGACATTTAAATTCAGTTTTCTAACATTTTTAGTATTTGTAATTTTGTTTTCACATCTTCAGTGATTTTTAAGGAGTTTATTTTCAGTGAATTTTGATGAGTGACATCACAGTTTTGACATTTTCAGTGACTTTTGACTAGTAATAAGGCATTTTTACGGACTTTTGGCGAGGTACATGACATTTTTACAGACTGTATCTCGTCAAAAGTCTTTGAAGTCATTTTTGTTAAACATTTTTGAATTTGATTTAACTTTTTTGAGATTTAACAAGACATTTTTAGAGCTTTTTTGAGTGACATGACAATTTTGATATTTGAAGTTATCGCTACTGACATTTTTGTATTTCGACATAACTTTTTGTGACATTTAATTTGTGTTTTCTAACATTTTTAGTATTTGTAATTTTGTTTTCACATCTTCAGTGATTTTTAAGGAGTTTGTTATTTTCAGTGATTTTTGATGAGTGACATGACATTTTCAGTGAATTTTGACGAGTGACATGACAGTTTCAGTGACTTTTAACAAGTGTTTTTTGACATGCCATTTTTACAGCCTCTTGACATGATACATGACATTTTTACAGACCTTTTATGAGATATATGACATTTTTGAGATTTGAAGTAATTCTTTTTTAAACATTTTTGAATTTGATTTAACTTGTCTGTACGTTTAAAATTGCTTTTGTATTTTTTAACAGTTATATGATTGTTGTAACTATTTTGCCATCCGACGTACTTTAAATGTGTGTAACGAAATTTTCGTCTGTTTGTAACGAGTTTTCCTAACATTTTTAGAATTTGAAATTTTCAATGACTTTTGACGAGTAACATGACATTTTCAGTGAATTTTGACTTTTTTATTGAATTTTGTTAAGTAATATGACATTTTTGTCATTTTCAGTTATTCTTGACTAGTGGCAAGGATTTTGTTAACATTTTCAGTGATTTTTGACGAGTGACATGGCAATTTTGATATTTTCAGTGAATTTTGACGAGTGACGTGAAAATTTTGATATTTTCAGTGACCTTTAATCAGTTATATGATATTTTTAACTGTTTTGGAGTAGTGTTACATTTTGAGTGTCTGTTGACGAGCTACATGACAATTTTGCCATTTGCAGCGACATGACAGTTTGGACATTTTCAGTGACTTTTGATGAGCGAAATTACATTTTTAGTGACTTTTGACGAATGCCATGACATATTTGACATTTGAAGTAATTTTTTTTAAACATTTTTGAATTTGATTCAACTTTTTTGACATTTACCTTGTCTGAACGTTTAAAATTGCTTTTGTCCCTTTTCTTTAACAGTTATATGATTGTTGTAACTATTTTGACATACTTTAAATATGCGTGTAACGAAATTTTCGTCTGTTTGTAACGAGTTTTCCCAACATTTTTAGAATTTTGACGAGTGACATGACATTTTCAGTGAATTTTGACTGTTTTAATGAACTTGGACAAGTGATATGAAATTTTTGTCATTTTCAGTTATTTTTGAATAGTGGCAAGGATTTTGTTAAAATTTTCAGTGATTTTTGACGAGTGACATGACAATTTTTATATTTTCCGTGACCTTTAACCAGTAATCTGACATTTTTGTAATTTTCTATTGTTTTTGACTAGTAATAAGGATTTTTTTTTGCATTTTGAGTGTCTGCAATTTTACCCTTTTCAAAGACATGACAGTTTAGACATTTTCAGAAACTTTTGGCGAGTGAAATGACTTGACGAATGCCATGACAATTTTAACATGACAATTTTGACATTTTTGTATTAACATAAAAATTTTTGACATTTAACTTATCTGGATGTTTAAGATTGCCGTTGTTCCTTTTTTTTTAAACAATTATATGACTGTTTTGATACCTATTTTGATATAATTTGAATACGTCGAAACTTTAGTAAATAAAAATCACTAAAGTCCTAAAAATAAAAAACTGAAGTTCTTACAACAAAAATATTTCAGCCTCTATTCATGCTATAAAAAACGCAACCATTTCTAGATAAACAAAATTGAGTGAACATTCGGTCCCACGATGTAAATATAAGTCGTGACATGCCCACCGATAGGCATGATTTAAAACTGATAAATAAAAAAAAATAATCCAGTTCATATATATAAAAAAAAACAGCAATAAAAGTTTGATCCCAACGGTCGAACAGCTGATCTCAGTGTGTAGTTTAAATTGTTAAAGAAAAAAGTTTAAAACTCAGCTGCGCTTCGTTTGATAAACTGTTCTCTCGTTTGCAGGAAATGCTACTTTCTTCACTCGTTAAACAATATACTATTATTAAAATTACAATTTCCAAGTTCAATCGTTTTCAAGAAAAACAAAAATCGCCTTATGTGGCCTTTCTCGTAAGTTTCACAACTTGCTTTTCTGTTTTTTCTATTTCTTCTATATTCGTTTCCATTTCATTTTCTCATAGTAAAAATATCTTATTTTCCATATATGAAATTTCGTTTTTTTTTCATAGCTATTTTCCAAATTGTAAGAAACTTCATTTTTCTATAGAAGAGATTAAAGAAATTATAGAAGATGCATCATTTTAATGTTATTAATTTTAATACTGTTATGTAAAAGAATTAGAGTACAATGTTATTTAAGAATTATATAAAAAAAAATGGATCAAATCTCTACAGAGAAGACCCAAATTGCAAAATTTTATAAGAAATCATCTACTGTAATTACGGAACACCCTGTATATACTTTATAAAAAAGATATTTAACGTTTTAATAGTAGTGTCAACAAATTTTAAGATATTTAAACAAAACTATCTTGTATTATTTGCACTATTTCATTATTTCCTATAGAAAAATCTCTGTCGAAATCAAATAAATTTGAATTCCGACGACTGGACTAAAATGTGTACATTTTTTTTGTAGGAATATTTTTCTCTTTAAGCTAAAAACGCCAGTGAATGATTTGTGTCTAGAAAAGTAGGTTTAAAATATTATAATCCGATGTACTAAGTTTACTTGCAAGCCATAGTGATAAAATATTAACCCATGACAAGAATTAAAAAAAAAAAATCCGCTCGCAATTGGTTTACCATTACTCCAAGAGAATATTTTTCTATCTGACAGAGTTCATTCTTGCAAGAAACTTATGTCGACTTCTCAACTTTTTTTAAGAACATTTTAAAAAGTTATGTCAGCTGTCAACGTTAGAAATGACAGTCGACGAATTGTTCTCGTGAAAATCAACTCGCGCATAGAAAATGGGCTCCAGTCGACATTTTTTTGGTAAGACCAGTTTTTGTACAAAAAAAATGTGTACTCTATAGGTGATCTCTCGTCCATATTGCTTGACTCATGTTTATTACGACTGGTCAACAGTTTTTTTTTTTAAATTTTGTAAAATATCCTTTTGTTCAGAGTGTGTTTGATCAAATAGCAACACTTTTGACATTCGTCAGAATTGTTAAACAAGCATAATGTGCCAGTTGATCTATTAACGTCAATGTGGATTTGTTTTATCAATTTTTGTATCAAAACCTCCCATTCCCATAACTGCTAATGCCTAATGTAAATATGTCAGTTGTCAGATCGTAATGCAGTCACTTTTCCTACAGTGTTGCAATTTTTTAAGTTGTTTTTTAACTGGTGTATGTAACTTAGATTATAGTTTTAGACAATCTCACACGATTGATTGCGAATATTGGTAGATTAAATCCTACGGCAGACACTCTGATTGGTTTTGTACGTTCATGTTCATGGTAAAATCGTTTCAAATAGGTATTTACTAATTGTTTCAAAACTCTTTAACCCACCAAAATTGTATTTATATTGGATATTTTTATTACGAAATTTTGTTGAATAGATGAACACATTGTATGTATAAGAATTGTAAAATGCACTCTATATATACATATTATATAAATATACATACATGCCATTTTCTTTTGATGTTTTATTTCTTAACCATACCAATTCTAATTGAAGTTATACGAGCATTAACAACTCTTGAGATTTATTTATAAGAAAATGCTCATAATTATTTGATTTGTCGATCACTGCCGACACGTAAATATTGATAATTGTAACGATTATTTATACATATTAATTTTGAAAACTCACTCTTGATGGTATAGGTATATGACCTCTAAGTGTTCAAATTACAATAATTTTATAGTTTCAGCCAGATATTAAATCCACCACTTGGTGTTTTAATTACGATTACTTAGTATGTATTGGAGAGGGTGGAGAGTAAGTGGACTGTATTCGTTTGGCCCGGTGTAAAATCCACTATACCTTCCTGTCGGCGATGTGGTGTCCACTGGTGGATATTTTCTCCACCAGCAGGAGTGAATTACACTCGACATGTGTATAAGGAGGAAGTAAACTAGGGGAAATAAGGTGGTGTAACTGGTGTAATTTACACTGGTGGACACTGCACCAACAGCGAACGAAAGAACCTACAGAATGCTGTGAACGTCAACTGTCACTATCAACCGTTTGTTCACCACCTCAAGAGGCCGGGAACCACATACTTTGATTTTCTTTTACTATACGGAGAATGGTCGCACTGCGCAGCTTTCTGAGTGCCTTTTAAAAGGAGATAGAAAACTCCGCCATTTTGAACCCTTAGGAGACTGCTGTTTTATTATAGGCGGTTGTCATATATTGTATTATCCGAGTTGCACAGTGCATAAACTGAAACATTGAGATCCAAAGTGTCAGCTGTAAACTGTGTCACAGGGTTTAAAATGGCCGCGCCCTATGTTGGGCGTGTCGGACCTCTCTCTTGCCTCGTATGGTAATCAAATTATGTGCCTGGAACAGATTTATCACGGCGGGAGCAGACAATGACGTCATTCCACTTCCCCTTGAGCGGTTCACGTCGCGAAAATGATGCGGGTAATACCGTTTGATCACCGGGAGTTCGCCAAAAATTGGTATTTGATTACTATACGGTGCAAGAGAGAGGTCCGACACGCCCAACATAGGGCGCGGCCATTTTGATTACTATGCCACAGTTTATAGCTAAAGAATCAGATCGCTCACTCTGCGTCGGCACTTTTGATCTCAATGTTCCAGTTTATACACTGCGCAACTCGAATAATATATGACAACCGCCTATAATAAAACAGCAGTCTTCTGCGTATCCTGAATTTGTATCCCTGGAGTGGATGTTATTTTGGAACTTTCAACTGGTCCAAGTGAGCTAACTGATTCTTTAGCAATAAACTGTGACTCCAAAAATAATTGCCGCGTTTGAGAATCCACATCGGATGCATTTTTTTACATCTCGAGCGTTTTTTAACCACGTCTGTCCCATTAAATTTACATATACTGAATCACGTGATCAAAGATTACATCTCGGATGCATCCGATGTGGATTCTCAAACGCGGCAAAAATTTACTGACACTGACAGCTGCAAGCAAAATATCAGGTGCGTTTTAATCATCCGCTCCTGCTTCCGTAATTGAAAATTATCGATAATTACTTAAAATAATCGATAGTTGTCGGTAGTAACACACTATTGATAATATCGACAGTGCTATTGCTAAGTATTTTTTATCTGTATCATACGTGTTAGAGAGGTGAGATTTAAAAGACGGCCATTATCCTTGCTCTTCGCTCGGATAAGGTATATAAAAATCAAAAATAATGTATACAGGGTGTTATTGAAATACACGTACATATTAAAACTGGGTATTGCGCAGATCCCCACTGAATGTAGAAAAATATTATTTTTTAAAAATACCCCTTATTAAGGGAGTTATTAATTTTTGAAAATTAATTCTAAAACAAACGTACTTCACTGATATGTTGAGGATGACCTATATAAATTAGGTTTATTTACCTATTTTAAACATCAACAGTAATTAATATGCAAGTTTTTGTCAGATGATAAGAAAACTAGTCTTGTAAGAAATAACCATGTTGCCAAGATTTTCGAATTAATTTCTATTTCCGAAGACTGGTTTTTACTACCCTCGTTATCAAAAAACTAGAATATTTGATAAATGATTGTTTTTAAACTATAGATTATTAAAATTTTAGTTGATTTACGAATCTGGCTAACACGAGCGCGTCATTTCCAAGTTGGTAAAGTGTTGTTACGATTACTTTTAAATATTTTTTTACGATGCCACTATTTACGAATATTGAACTAACGGATATAGTGCTGGTTTATGGGGCAGCTGGAGAAAATTCTCGGCAAGCACAAATCCTGTATCGCGAACGGTTTCCAAATCGGAGAATTCCGGACTGTCGTACGTTTATTTCAACTGTTCAGCATCTAAGAGACCATGGAAAATTTGAGAGTGTCAATGCAGATCGAGGGAGAACAAGAACACAAAGAACATTGGCGGCCGAAGAAGAAATATTGGAAGCTGTTGAAAACCGGCCTCAATTAAGTTGTAGAAGACTAGGTCTTGAAATTGGAGTGTCCTCATTTGTTGTGTGGCGGACACTTAAAGAACAAGGTTTACATCCTTATCACATCCAAAAAGTCCAGGCCTTATATCCAGGTGATGAAGAAAAGAGTGGAGTTTTGTGAATGGATGATTCAAAAATGTGTTGATATTCCTGATTTTCTAAAAATATTATTGTATACTGACGAGGCTTCATTCACTCGTGATGGCGTGTTCAATATGCACAATACGCATATTTGGAGTGATGAAAATCCTCACGCCATTAGGGAAACTGGGCATCAAAGAAAATTTTCAATAAATGTTTGGGCTGGCATAATAGATCAGTATTTAATCGGGCCTTATGTTCTCCCGAACAGATTAAATGGGCCAGGATATCTCCACTTTTTAGAAGATATTTTGCCAGTACTCCTAGAAGAGATACCGTTACAATTAAGGCAACGAATGTGGTACCTACTAGATGGCGCTCCTCCTCACTTTGATTTAAACGTACGGCAGTTTTTGAACATTAGATTTCCTCAAAAGTGGATAGGCAGAAATGGACCTACTAAGTGGCCTCCGAGATCTCCGGACTTAAATCCATGCGATTTCTTTTTGTGGGGTCACATGAAACAACTGGTTTATAATGAACCTATTAATAGTGTTGAACAATTAACCAATAAAGTTAATGCGGTAGCCGAGGAACTACGACAAAATCCAAGACTAATTTCTAATGTTCAAAGTTCTTTGGAAAGACGATTGCAAGTGTGTGTAAATAATAATGGACGGCATTTTGAACAATTACTGTAATAAACTTTATTTTGAATTAATTGGTTTTGCTACGGCAACAGTGCAATTTCTATGGGTAAGTTCAATTTCGATTTATTTTACTTCTTTAAATATGGAAACTAGTAGGTCGGAAAAGGGGACTCTTCCCCAATATTTAAATTTTAGAATTTGAAGTTAAAATTGGTGCCAATCGTTTTTGGTCATTACATACTATTCCCCATTTTAATATGTACGTGTATTTCAATAACACCCTGTATATTTTGCTAAACTGCGCATGTGAAGTACAATCTCACGATTTCTAACGACTTTTTAATGATCAAGCTCACGAATTTAGGCTCAGTGCATCTGGGATCCCTGGCAGAGAGGTTAGTTTTTGTTAGTTTTCGTTGATTTTTTTATTTGTCTTGTGTCGTGGATTACTGTGAATTTATAAGCATAAAAGTTTACTGCATATACTGAAAAACCAAATAGAAGAACCCTTATTAGTGTTTTAAGTACGCCTAGAGCTGACTTAGAAGCTTCATCGGATGTAAATATATCTGAATTAGAGTTGAAAGTACAGGAAGATTGCCATTCTTTGATTACCCTTAACCCACACTGGGGTCTATTCTCTAACAATTCCTTTATATTTAACGGCCTTTAAAAATATTGGCGGCTTACAAAAATATGTTCGTATTCGTTAATTTACTTCTGTCATTATTTAAACAGATTTCTTTAATGTATTTACAGAAGCTTTTAAAACTAAATCCGAGAGTACGTCTTACCAATGTCGAAAAACAGACATATTCAAGATGTCTTAAGAACGTTACCTTTTGTAACATCAGACGTCTGTCATGTCTATGACAGACGTCTTTGTGCTGTTTGGGCGTATAACGTCTACAAAACAACGTGAAACGACGCATGCAAAACGCGCACAACGTACACAAAACGACGCACAACACAATGCACAACGTACACAAAATGACGCATAACGTAAACAAAACAACGTACATAAAACAATGCACACAAAATGACGCACAACGCACGTAAATAAAACAACCAGTGTTGCCAGAATATATTTTTACTATGCACCAATTTGTCTAAGAAATGTACCAAATTCTATAAATTGTTCCATATTTTTCGAATTGTGGTTTGGTTCAATAAAGAGCAAAACGAAAGCGGAGATCTAAGATACATTTGCTAAAACTCTCTAATATATTTTACGTCAAATGGAAACATACTCTGAAAAACGTACTAGATTTTGCTTCGAATGTACTAGAGTAACAGCTTAATGTACTAGATCTTGTAAAATTGTACTAGACTGGCAACACTGACTCAAGATATACTACAAAGTAAATAATTTTTTGCGTGATAAATGTCACGTACGCCACGAACAAAACCAAATTATTTCTTCGAATCGAAAGAATTAAAACATATTTTCCAACGAATTTCACCGGCTGATGTAATGCTCCTAGTTGGCACGTCCTCCAGACACAAGAACTACTTTCAATCTTTGACACTACAATCCCTGGAAGTCTGCATACCGGGTAATTTAGTACCCGATATTTTACTTACATGGGTACTACTTTAGTTTCAATATTTTACTAGTTTTGACTTTAAAATACAAACAAAAAGTATTGTAGGATCATTTTTATGGTATGTCGGCGTACAATGACTTTTTTGGTTCTTCCACAATCTTCCCGATAACGGTATCGATACTTTACTGGTATCTGCAGATATTTTGTTCCCACTAAAAAAAAAAAACACGCTTTTTAACCTTCGTTTTACAAACATGTTCCCTAAAATTAAGTAACTCGTACATTTTAAATGTCATATCTAAATCTAATTGATTTTCTTGAGGCTCATTATTTCACAATTTTAATTACTTACTTTGGTACAACAAAATTTAACCTTACCTGCTGATAACCTGTGAAGACGTATCACCAATTGAGGAATGATGAAGGTAAATTAAATGATACAAAAAACGCTACAAAAGTTTTTATTATGGTGCTTAAACGTATACAATAAATAGAACCTTTTATTAGGCCCATCAAATACACCAAATTATAAAAAAAACGATTAAAAACTCAAAAAAACCGTGACTGCTAGAAAAATTTTCATTCAGCTCGTCACGATTCCGAACAAACATTTTAATTAATTAAATGTCATCAAAGAGATTCACATCAGAACGAATAAAAACGAGTATTTTTTACTTTACTTTTTTCAATTAGTTAAAAATAAAACGAATAATATTAATTCACTAGGAATGTTTTAGTTCCGATAAATGTTTTACTTCACACTAAGTACAAAAACTAAAAAAAATTATCATATTTATAAAAGAACGCCATCAAAAATGGTTCAAGTATATTATGGGTTATCAATTACATTTACAGTCTTAGCAAGATAATAATAGATAAGAAATACTGATTTTTTTTAAATTTCGAAATACAAGCCCCCCAAACTATTCGCAGTCTTTTTTAATATTCTCAAAATACCAGTCTTAAAACGTGTGTATGTATCGTTGGCACTTATATACTTGGAAGATTTTAGCCTAACAGGAACAATTATCACAAAAAAATGATTCTCCATTAATTTCAAACATACATTCGCGGAAACCGATCGTTCGTCGCTTATCAGTCGTAGACATTTGCTTTTTGACAGCTGTCAACCGTTTTCAGACGACTATCATTAATTGACGCACGTCAAAATCGCTAGCTAGAAAAGTGATGTTTTTTAGAATATAAAATCGTGATATTTTACAAAAGTTTTGAGTATTTAAGGTGCTGATAAAGTGACAAAAACAAATTCATAAAGCCTTATTTTTGAAAATATTTAATCAATGTTATTTTAACAAAATAATTTTTCAAAATAAGGTGTATTTGTTTCTGTCGTTATTGACCATTTAATTACGCAACTTTTCTGTTTTTTAATCAAACCTTTAAGTTTAACCGTTTCTAAAATAGAGACGTTTAACTTAAAAAAATTTACCATTTAATCGCGCTTATAATTTAAAGTATCACATCTCGAGTATCGAGAACATTTTTTAAACACAAAGATCACAGTTAAAACAGCCAAATTAATAAATAAAATTTCAATGATCACATATGACATTAGACAGCTGTCAAAACGACCGACAAACGACTGGGCTACGATTAGTTTCCAACAGTCTAGTCCGGACGCCAGAACTATATGAAAATTTCTCAGAGTGTGTAGTTATAAAATTGTAAAGTCAGTTGTCATTTTGTTAAATAACTCTTAAACGGTCAATATTACAGCAAAAATGGTGAATACCTTTTTTGTAGATAATTAAATTTTGCATAGCTTTCATTTGAATTTTTTTTTGTAATATTTGTAATTTTCGAGTTACGACGCTTTAAAGTGTTTTTTTTTTAACTAAAAATTTTTTTAATTAAAAATACAAGTTTGTGATGTTTCTGTAAGGAAATTTTTCACAAAAAAAAAACATTAAAAAACTTAAAAGCGTCATAACTCGAAAAATATCAATGATACAAAACAAAATTTAAATTTTAAAATTGAAAATTTTTATTATCTTCAAAAAAGGTCTTTAACATTTTTTTTCGTAATATAAACAGTTTAAGAGTTATTTAACAAAATGGCGTTTTTACATCTGGCGCCCAAAGTACTCTTTCAAATATATACCGAACGCCAAAATTATCTAAAAATGAATCCTCAGAGTGCGTGGTTTTAAAATTTTAAAGTTAGTAGTAATTTTGTTAAATCTCTTAAATGGTCAATATTACTGCAAAACATGTAAATACCTTTTTTTAAATAATTAATTTTTGCATTGTTTTTATTTAAAACTTTTTTTGTAACATTTATAATTTTCGAATTACGACGCCTCTAAGTTTTTTTTTTTTTAACGAAACGCCTCGTTATCTATCGATGTACGCCAGATTAAAAATACAAGTTTGTGATGTTTCTATAACGAAATTTTTCACAAAAAAAAAAAAGACATTAAAAAACTTAAAAGCGTCGTAACTCGAAAAATACCAATGATACAAAAAAAATTTTAAACGTCATAATTTAAAATTATTATCTTTAAAAAAGGTCTTGTAACATTTTTTTTTTAGTAATATAAACAGTTTAAGAGTTATTCAACAAAATGGCGCTTTTACATCTGACGCCCGAATCATCTCACATAATCTAGTCCGAGCGCCAGAAATATCTAAAAATTAATCATTCAAGTGCGGGGTTGTAAAATTTTAAAGTCAGTCGCCATTTTGTTAAATAACTCTTAAATGGTCAATACTACAGCAAATATTATAAAGACCTTTTTTCTAGATAATATTTAGCATTATTTTCGTTCAAAACTTTTTTATACCATTTGTATTTTTCGAGTTAAGACCCTTCAAAGATTTTTCTTTTAAATACAAAGTTGAATAAATATTTTTAGTCAACGATTTTTAACAAAGAAAAAAACTTTAAAATCGTCTTACCTCGGAAAATATCAATCATATAAAAAAAATACAAACAAAAAGAACGAAAATTTTTATTATATACAAAAAAGGTCTTCACCATTTTTGCGTCAATTTAAACCGTTTAAGAATTATTTAACATTTTTGCTTCTGGCGCCCGGAGTAATCTCTCTCAACGTACGATAAAAGTAAGAAACTGCGAACAAACCGCGTCCTCAATAGTAGTAACCGAATTAATTAGTCAGAGACAACAAATTAATAGATAATACGAATAAATTAAGAAAAAAAAATTATAAAAAATTAATAAAAAAACACTAAATGTTTACAGGACAAGTGAAACGAATCGTAAAAGAAAGAAAAAACGAGTTACACTTCGACACTTACGGGTGGGGTGGTGGTATCTGTGGGAGGAGCTTCGTCGATTTTCTTCACTTTAATTTCTTCCGTCGTCTTTTCGCTAGCTTCCCCGTTTTGTTTCTCTTCAGTAGACGTACCGTTCGTCGCTTCTTCTTCGACACCGTTAGCCAGCACACTTTTGTTCTCTTTTTCTTTCACTACTTCCGCTTTTTCTTCGCCGTTTGTTTCTCCTTCCTTCTTTTCTTCTTTACTGTCCGGTTTGTCGCCGTTTTCTTCTGGTTTCGCCGTCGCTTCATCTTTGTCGGTTTTCTTTTCTTCTACAGGTTTGGTTTCTTCCTTTTTTTCTACAATCTTTTCTTCCGGTTTGGTTACAGTGGTTTCTTTGCTTTCCGCTGGTTTACTATCTGCGGATTCTTTCTTTTCTTTCGTCGCTACTTCTTTAACTGCCGTTTCTGCTTTAGGTTTATCGGATTTTTCTTTTTCTGACGATTCCTTTTTCTTTTCAACTTTTTCTTCGGCTTTCTTTTCTACCTTTTCCTCTGCTTTATTTTCTACCTTTTCCTCTGCTTTCTTTTCTACCTTTTCCTCTGCTTTCTTTTCTACTTTTTTCTCTGCCTTTTCTTCCGCTTTCTTTTCTTTTTCTTCCGCTTTCTTTGCTACTTTTTCTTCCGCTTTCTTTTCTACTTTTTCTTCCGCTTTCTTTTCTATTTTTTCTTCCGCTTTCTTTTCTACTTTTTCTTCCGCTTTCTTTTCTACTTTTTCTTCCGCTTTCTTCTCAACTTTTTCTTCAGCTTTCTTTTCTACTGTTGTTACTTTCTTTTCTACTTTTTTTTCTACGGTCGTTACTTTCTTTTCTTCTGTCACTATCTTATCGGCAGTTGTTACTTTCTTTTCTTCTGTTGTTACTTTAGTTTCTTGTGAGTCGACTTTCATTTCTTCAACTACTACTTCTTTGCTGGTTTCGGGTTCTACTTTCTTTGATTCAGTTTCTACTACTTTGCTTTCATCAGTTTCTACTTTATCACAGGGCGTTACGTCCATCTTTTCATCTTCCACTACGTTAGTTTCCTTATCTTTTTCTACGTTACTAGCGTCTTTTTTCTTTTCTTCTACTTTTGGTAACTGTTCCGTCTTTTTTTCTTCTTCAGGCTTTTCGGTTGATTCTGCAGTCTCCATGGGTTTTTCGTCTTTTTCGGCGGGTTTTTTGTCCGTCTTTTCTTCCGGTTTCTTCTCCTCAGTCTTTGTCTCTTTAATTGGTTCTGTGGGTGTTTCATCGGTTTTAGTCAGTTCTTTTGCAGCAGTGTTGTCCTCAGTCTTGGTTTCGGTTTTTGGTGCTTCATCAGTTTCTTTTGTGGCTTCAACGGCTTTTTCTGAAAATAAAACAAACCCATTCAAGAAAAAGTGAATCAGGGAACAATAAAGAAAGTCAAACCTATAGTAGAACAAAATTATTACCTTTAACTTTTTCCACTTTTTCTACAGCTGCGTCCACTTCCATTGGTTCGTCTTCGATCTTTTCTTGTGCTTTAGTTTCTTCTTTAGCCGGTTTAGGTTTATCCTCAGCGAGTCCGTTTTCTGCGGTGCCGTTTTCTTCTTTTTTCGCAATTTTCGGTGGTCGTTCTTCCTGTATATGCAAAGATCAGAATGACGATGATACGTGACAATGAAGTGAACATTATGGGTAAGGATATTTCGTTAAAATATGATTGATTAATTGAAGAATGAAAGTAATACTAGTAATAGGCGATTTGTTTGGCGAAGTTTTATTTTGTATCTAATAACGGGTATTTTGGGATTTCTGTTTCGAGTCGTCAAATGTTAAAGCAGTGAATTGTATAATTTCAAAAACGCTTTTACTATATAAAATCAGTATTAAAAAAAAAAAAAAAAAAATTAGATTTTAAAAATAATTTTTATTTTAATGGCATGTATATTTTCTTTTTTGATTTCAAAAATATAAATAGATTTTAAAAAGAAAATCGATTAAAGAGAAATACATAAAATAATCGATTGTTAAAAAAATCGATTTAAAAAAGAATAGATATCTATTGTAAAAAAAGAATCGATTAGAAAAATATTCTTTCATAAAAAATTCATTCTAAATTATTTTATAAACAAGATACCTTGTATATTATACTTTTTCCGGTTTTCAAAAATATATAGCAGATTGTAAAAAATTAATCGAATTTAAAAAGAATCGATTAAATAAAAAAAATAGACTGAAAAAAAAAAGAAATTGTAAAAATAATTGATTATACAAAAAAATCGATTATATAAGAAATAATCGATTGTACAAAAGAAAATCGATTATACAAAAAAGAATCTATTATAAAAATAATCTTTTGTAAGCATCGATTCTAAAACTATTTTTTAAATGGGATACCCTGTATATTAATATTTTTTTCGGATTTCAAACATAACCGATTGTAAAAACTTAATCGATTTTAAAAAGAATCGATTAAAGAAAAAAGAATCGATTAAAGAAAAAAGAATCGATTATAAAAAAAAATGATTTTATTTTTTTATTTTAGTGTAATACTATAAATATATAATCGGTTATAAAAAAGAATCATCGATGAACAGAAATAAAAAATCGATAGTAAAGAATTGATTAAAAAAAATCGATTTAAAAAAGTGAATCGATTGTAGAAAGAGAATCAATTATGGAAAAAAAAAAAAATCGATTAAATAAACGAGAATCGTTTATGGAAAAGAATATTTAAATAATTGTTATTTTAATATTTTGTAAGAATTGATTCTAAAACTATTTTTTAAATGGGGTACCCTTGTATATTAATAATTTTTTTCGGATTTGAAAAATAAATAACTATTTGTAAAAACCAATCATTAAAAAGAATCGGTTAAAGAAAAAAGAATTGATTTTTTTAAGTGTAATATTAAAAATATATAATCGATTATAAAAAAAGAATCATCGATCAAAAGAATGGATATACAAAATCGATAGTAAAAAGAATTGAATAAAAAAATAATCGATTTAAAAAAAGTGAATCGATTTAAGAAAGAGAATCAATTAAGGAAATAAAGGTAATCAATTTTAAAAACCTTTGAAAAAGAATCGATTACAGAAGAAAAGATCGATTTTTTTTAAATTTTTATTTTAATGGCATGTATATTTCCTTTTTGATTTCAAAAATATATCATCGATGATAAAAATTCGATTTAAAATAAATTAATCGATTTTGAAAAGAAAATAGACGATTAAAGAGAAAGATAAGATAATCAGTTGTAAAAAAGGAAAACAAGAAAAAAAAAAGAATCGACTGAAAAAGGGAATCGATTGTGAAAAGGGAATCGATTGTGAAAAAGGGAATCAATTGTAAAAAAGGAAACCTATTGTAAAAAAAGAATTGATTATACAATACAATCTTTTGTAAGAATTAATTCTAAATCCATTTTTTAAATGTATTTGTATTTTTCAGGTTTTCAAAAATATATAGCCGAATATCGATTTTATAAAGAACCGATTGTAAAAATTATTCATATATACAAGAAAATCGGTTAAAGAAAAAGTCTATTTATTGCAAAAAAGAACATTAATTTTTTTTCGACTTCAAAAATATAGATTGTACAAAAAATAAAATCAGTTTGTAAAAATAAATCGCTGGTAAATAATCGATTGTAAAAATAACAATTTTTAATGAGATACCCTATATATTAATATATCACTGAAAGTAAAAAAAAATCGATTTAAAAGGATAATCGATTAAAAAAAAAGAATCGATTCTAAAAATAACATTTCCGATTTAAAAAATATTCCATATTATTATGTTACCCGTATCTTACGCCATTTTACAATATTTTAATTACTGTAATATGGAAAAGTTAATATAATTAAAGTTTGCTATGAAAATTAACATTATTGTTATATAAGTGACATTATTTTAATAAATAATCAAAATGTTTTATTTACAACGAGGACAAATAAGTGTAACTAATTACCTAACCTAAGATAACTGTCTAATCAAAATCAAAACTTTTTGACAACATTGTCAATAACAGACCCACTAGCAAACAGCTGCTGGCATTGTACTAATAAAACTTTGACCTATTTAAATTAAATCATTTTTAACTAATCGACCTCAAAATAACATCCACTTTAAAATCTTTATTAACACATTAATATTTTTGTGTTTTATATATGTTAAATTTAATAGGGAAAATGACTATTATGAGTATTAAAATGAAAATTATTGTGAAATTTGAAATGTAGATTAATTGAAAATGCAACAGCGATGATAATTTTCGGGAAATTTGCAGGAAAGGGACAATTTTATCAATGAGGAAAGTTATCAGATACAAAACTTTGAAAACAAATCGATATTACTGCAGAGAAACGACCATAAGACAGTTAAAATAAAAGATTTATTTACCAAATATTTACAAAAAAATTGTTAAGACTACCACCACTACTGGTAACTACTTGTATTTTTACTTATAAACGTGTAAATTGTTACAAAATCTACTTATACTTTTTACATTATTTATACATCAACATTATTATTACTCACTTAATATTTTTTTTTTAGTCAATTATTTATTCATTATATAAAATATCAAAACGCACTGGATAAAATCGTTTAGAAAAGAAAAACATGCATTAGAAAAATTAAAAAATGCATCTAAAAAATCACAACCACCCATCTATTCGATTTGCTGTTTTTTTTTTGGTCTAAAATCAAAATAAAAAATTATTTTTGTTTTCTAGATTTAGAACGAACCTCTGTAGGGGGAACCTCCTCCTCGTTTTTGCGCTTGACGGACTTTTCAAGGACGATGTCCTTGAAACTTGTGATGACTGGGAAGTCCTTCGCAGCGTCTTCAGGCAACGCGTCGTTTCCCTCTCTGGTGATAAGCGATGTTACCAAACCGGCGGTTTTGGCAGCTTTGGCTTCCGCGACATCATCGGTAATGAAAACGATTTCTTCTCCCTTGACCTCCAGTTCCTTCGAGATTTTTTCGTAGCTGCCAGATTCGGTTTTCGAGCCGGTATCCTGGTCGAAATATTTTGTAATGTGTGCTGACAAATCGCCCTCGGTGGTGTGAGCGAACAAGAGTTTTTGAGATTCTAGACTGCCGGTCGAGTAAATTGCGACCTTGCGAGATTTCGCCCATGATTCCAGGACGGTAGGTACATCCGGGAATACGCTAAAAAAAGGAAAATCGAGTGTTTCATTTCGCGCAGCACCGATTCTAAGACAAAATCGACCATGTTCCTACGTTCTAAGGTTTAAAATAGCGAAAATTAAAAGCTACAAGGTCGCGCACTGGTGTTATCACATGTCAATGTCATCTAACTAAGCTGTCATTTCTATTTTGATCTACTTGAATAAAAATGTGGTCAGTAAAAAGAAACGATTATAAAAAGAATTGAATGTAAATAAGGAATCATCTAAAGAATCAACGAATGTAAATAAAGAATCTACGAATGAAAATAAAGAATCTAAGAATGTAAATAAAGAATCTATAAATGTAAAAAAAGAATCATCAAATGCAAATGAAGAATCATCGAATGAAAATAAAGACCCAACGAATGTAAATAAAGAATCAAAATTTAGAATCTACGAATGAAAGTAAAGAATCAACGAATGTAAATAAAGACTCATCAAACGTAAATAAAGAATCAAAGAATTAAAATTTAGGATCTACGAATGTAAACAAAGAATCATCGAATGAAAACAAAGAATCATCGAATGTAAATAAAGAATCAACGAATGTAAATAAAGAATCAAAGAATGAAAATTTAGAATCAACGAATGTAAATAAAGGATCATCGAATGTAAATAAAGAATCAACGAATGTAAATAAAGAATCAACGAATGTAAATAAAGAATCATCAAATGTAAATAAAGAATCAAAGAATGAAAATTTAGGATCTACGAATGTAAACAAAGAATCTACGAATGTAAGTAAATGAAGAATCATCGAATAAAAATAAAGAATCATCGAATAAAAATAAAGAATCAACGAATGAAAATAAAGAATCTACGACTGTAAATTTAGAGTCAACGAATGTAAATAAAGAATTAAAGAATGAAAATTTAGAATCTACGAATGAAAAAAAGAATTACGAATAAAAATAAAGTATCTACGAATGAAAATAAAGAATCAACGAATGTAAATAAAGAATCATCGAATGAAAATAAAGACCCAACGAATGTAAATAAAGAATCAAAATTTAGAATCTACGAATGAAAATAAAGAATCAACGAATGTAAACAAAGAATCTACGAATGTAAATAAAGAATCATCAAATGTAAATAAAGAATCAAAGAATGAAAATTTAGGATCTACGAATGTAAACAAAGAATTATGGAATGTAAATGAAGAATCATCGAATAAAAATAAAGAATCAACAAATGAAAATAAAAAATCTACGAATGTAAATTTAGAATCAACGAATGTAAATAAAGAATCAAAGAATGAAAATTTAGAGTCTACGAATGAAAAAAGAATCTACGAATGTAAATAAAGAATCATCGAATGAAAATAAAAAATCAAAGAATGAAAATTTAAAATCAACGAATGATAAATAAAGAATCTACGAACGTAAATGAAGGTATATTCTCAAATGTAAATAAAGAATCAACGAATGTAAATAAAGAATCAAAGAATGAAAATAAAGAATCAAAGAATGAAAATTTAGAATCAACGAATATAAATAAAGAATCATCGAATGTAAATAATGAATCAACGAATACGAACGTAAACAAAAAATCTACGAACGCAAATAAAGAATCTACGAATGAAAATAAAGATTTTACGAATGTAAATAAAGAATCATCGAATATAAATAATCATCAAATGTAAATAAAGAATCTACGAATGAAAATAAAGAATCATCGAATATAAATAATCATCAAATGTAAATAAAGAATCGATCTGAAAAAGAACTGAAATGTCTCAAAGTAAAAATAATCGATGTAATAATCATCAATGATAAAAAACATGTAAAAAATCCACAATAAAAAGAAAAAATGTAAAAAAAGAATCGACAGTAAAAAATAAAGCTCTCTGGTGGCGATACGGTTTGACTACCTTTTAATTTAAATGAAGGTCGATAATACTTGTCAATGTCATTACTATTTTGATCTATTTGAATGTAAAAAATTGTTAGTAAATAGAATCGATTAAGAAAATAATTGAATGTAAAAATAATCGATTTAAGAATTTTAGGGTAAATAAAGAATCATCGATGGTAAAAAGAAGAACAAAAAAAAATCTACAGTAAAAAATTAATGGTAAAAAAGAATCGACAGTAAAAGAAAATCGATTGTAAAATAAGAAACACTTTGATGGTGGTCCCGTTAAACAACAATCTGGTAATTTAAATGTCAATGTCATCCGACTAAGCATCTTTCACTTTGATCTATTTGAATGTAAAAAATAGTAAATAGAATCGATTAGAAAAAGAATCGAATGTAAAACTAAACTATTGTAAAATGTCGATAGTAAATAATAATCGATTGAAAATTATCAACGATGTTAAAAAAAGAGATGTAAAAAATCAATAGTAAAAACAGATTAAAAAAAAAAGAATCCACTAAAAAATAATTGCTGTATTTTTAAAATCCATTATTTTTTATAGTCGATCATAAAACAGAATCGATTATAAAAAGAAAGCCCTCTTCATCTGACTTAGCCGTTTGATCTATTTGAATGTAAAAATAATCGATTGAAAAAATTCTGCGTAATAAGTAATCGATTGAAAATAAAGAATCATCGATGGTAAAAAGATAATGTAAAAAATCTACAGTAAAAAAGAATCGATAGTAAAAATTAATGGAATGTAAAAATAATTGATTAAAAAAAGATAGCCTTTTGCTGGCGAAACCGTTGAACTACAATCTGGTAATTTAAATGTCAAAATCATATGACTAAGCGTCATTTCAACTTTGATCCATTTGAATGTAAAAAAATACTTAGTAAATAGAATCGATCAGAAAAAGAATCGATTGTAAAATGTCGGTAGTAAATAATCATCGACGTTAAAAAAGAGATGTAAGAAATCAAAAGTAAAAAAGATATAATTGCTGTTTTTATAATCGATCGTAAAATAGAATCGATTAAAAGGAAGCCCTATCTCTTTTTCTAATTGTCATTTCTATTTTGATTTATTTAAATGTAAAAACAGTTAGAAAATAGAATCGATTAGAAAAAGAACTGAATGTAAAAATAATCATCGATGGTAAAAAAGAATGTAAAAAATCCACAGTAAAAAAAATCGATTCTGAAGAATGTATCGATTGTAAAAATAATCGATAGTAAAAAAGAATAGATCCAAAAATAATAAGACTTAAAAAGAATCGATTATAAAAAATAATAAATGTCATCAACAGTTGATAACGCAGCGCGTGATCTTCAAAGTCTCTATTTTCACTATTTTGAACCTTAGACTGTTTTGTGGAGATTTACATGAGAAAATGATCGATTTTGTCTTATAATCGACACATGTCAATGTCATTTGACTAAACCGTCATTTCTATTGTGATCTATTTGATTGTAAAAAATGGTTGGTAAATATGATTTATTTGGAAAATAATCGAATATAAAAAAAAATCAACTGAAAAACGTCTGGGTAAAAATCCATTGCAAATAATCAACGAAGGTAACAAAAAGGTAGATGTAAAAAAATTAAAGAGAATTAATTGTAGAAAAGAATTCATTGTAAAAAATAATCTATTTAAAAAAAAATGCCCTTTCACTTGTCAAATGTAAAATTAATCGATTGTAAAATGTCGGTAAAAAATAATTGATTGCAAATATTCATCGATGTTAAAAATATATAAGTAAAAATCAACAGTAAAAAGAATTGATTACAAAAAAAAATCGTAAAAAAATAATCGATCGTAAAACAGAATCGATTGTAAAAAACGCCCTCTGTTGAAAATAACATTGAACTACTATCTTTTCATTTAAATGAAGGTCATTATCACTAGCGGTGGGCAAAATAATCGTTTAAACAATTTAATCGAATCATGGATGGTATAAAAAAAAATCTACAGTAAAACGAATTAAAGGTACCATTTCGGTAGGCGCGACAGACGACAAGCGACCACTGAACCGACCCCAAGGCCGAGTAGGACAACAGGTGCATACATTTTACGCTTCGTACGATTGGCAAGCTTGAAGTATCGCGCGACATTTACAGGAATAACCATTCGAGGGAACAATCAGCGTTGCCAGACCTACAATTTTCACGTAGATCTACTGTTTTTGTCTCTAGCAAATTTTGTTCTTAATTTATTAAGTTTGCCTCATTCTTCAGCAAATGGGTAAAGAATATTTTCTCTAGTAAATTTTCTGCAGTAAAAGCAGCGTAATAAGCATCCACTACTGTAGGTTGGCTCATTAAAAAAAAAAACATCAAGATAATCATTGTTTTTATTTAAAATGAAACAAAGAAATAATAGGGCATCATAAAAAGAACATGCATATGCCAAACACTACGATTTTGAATTATCTAATTTAGACTGATCTAAAAGAAGTAGGTACTTATTATTTTTCATTGGTTTTTTTCCCGTACGTTAAGTATATATTAAAAATGTTTTTATTCTTTGTTTACTTTCTAATTTGGGTTGAAAAAAAGTTTATTTTTCGTTTCTTATATACTTGTTTTTTTTATTTACTACACTGCAAATTATAATTATTTTCCCCTTTATTAAAATCTACGGTTTTTTTTTTTACCCATACTGTTTCAAAATCTGGCAACGCTGCCTAGATCGAAAGAAATTTCCGACCGAATCACCCCCAAAAAAAAGCGATGCCGAGGACAGTGACCTCGAGTGCGATACGCAGCAAAGCTTTGCACCGAGAAGTGTCTCCAAGACACTTCTCGGTCGTGTCGCGCCGTGCGAAATGTGTTTTATATAATTGTATGTATTTTAGATGTGAAGCGACACTTCTCGGTCGTGTCGGCGGTCGTCTGTCGCGCCTACCGAAATGGTACCTTTAAATTCTAAAAAAATCTCTTGTGAAACAGAATAGATTGTAACAAAAGAATCGATATAAATAATATTAAAAAATTTAATACTTACTGAGCTTTAAGTTCACCACTTTCGTATCCCTTCTTGTAGATCAAACCTTGCAACGCTTTCAAACCCTTGTTGTCACTGTTTTTCTCGGTCAGTTCCTTAACGAGAGCCACCGCGGCCTCCAGATCTAGTTCGCCGTCCTTTAACGTTTTGACGGCTTCTTTGACTGCCTCGTCTTCCCATTTTTCTTTCAGAAACGTTTCAACTTGCTTGTCGACGTAAGAGAAAAGAGTCTCCTGGTGGGACAACAATAAAAAAAAAGCGTGAAGAAATGAACAATTTTTTCAGTTGATTATAGAATATATTAAGAAATACACATATTTTTCGCCAAGAAGTTTATCAGTCGTATAACTATTTAAAATAAATGAGTTACAGGGAGTTGCACAAATTAGTTTCAAGTACTAAAAAAAAGTTAGGCAAAAAACTACAAGATTGAGTTTTTCCTAAATAATTCAAAAGGCAATGAATATGCGGTAATTTTTCATACCGTATTATTGACATATTGATAGACAATTTTTATTCTATTTAACCAAATTTGTAGCATGTTAAAATGAAAACAAAGATTACAAATTAGATACCTAAAATATATACATTCACAACAGTGCACAAGCATAAATTCAAACTTAAATACAAATAAGTAAAATTTAAATTTACAGAAAGTAAAATTTGATAATTTTACACATAAGTTAAAAATATAGAAACACTTGAAGTTATGTGAGTAAACAAGCCGAAATGAGTAAAATAATAGTTTGTGCAATAAGAGTGGACAGACAATCCACTAGAATTGTACATTATATTTTTTTACGACCAACTAACAAAATCTACAAATTTTAAAATTATTTTAGGTCAAGACAAAATTAACTTAAAAAAAAATATAATGATTTTGACATTTCATATGGTAATACTTACTGGCTCTTCTAAAAATCAGCCATATATATTTTTAAATTATTGTATCATTTCTCTGGCCATTTCAGAAACCACATAAGTTATTATTATTTAAAATTAAGGGGTTGGAGAAGTGGAAGGGAAGGGACTGACATGACAGATGTCTGTATTGTAAAAATGTGTCCCCTTTGGAATAAAAATCGACCTGTTTCAGTATTTTCTTAAACTCCAAAGAATACTGCCAAATAACTGAGTGGACTGTTTTGAATGGCCCACTCTGTACATGTAACCAATCAGATGTTATTTTCAATGTCAGCGGATTTATTTTTCAAACTGAAATTCATCATTGATGCATGTCAATGACGTAATAGATTGGTTATGGAATGATTTATACTAATCAAGAATGGTATTAATTTGTGTCAATTGTCATTTTTGACTCGGCTGTTTTTTTAATGATTATTGTTCTAGTCAATTTAGTTTTGTGAGTTTTATAGTTATCATATTCTAAATTTACTTCTATTAAATCGCCCATTTTTATAATTTTAGAAATTAATTTTTGAGGTTGAAGCTATCATTTTTCACAATCTATCCATATTTGCCCACTACTTCAAATCATCATTAAATCCATCTGTATTTTTGGTGAACACAACGATAATAAATGAACGCTAAATCTGTCAAATTTGAATATTCTAAGACTTCTATCAGTTTTTAATCTAGTTTAAATTTCAAACTTTATTAGTAAGGTATATTGTTGACGTTAAAAGTAACTACTGCAAAAAAATTTAATTAAAATGGATGGATTATAATGCGTTGTTTTTATGTATCATGTAAATAAAAGAGAAAGATACAGAAAGTATGTTATTGTATTAAACTATATAGCAGAGGCAAAAGTTGGAAAGGCTTTTGTCAGTTTTCCCACTTTATACACATAGATTGACAGGTTTGCGGCGGATCTAAACGAAGTTGACGCCATACATTGGCGTACAAACTTAATTTATAGATATTAATAACAATTTCAAGTAAATAGTTTAATAAATTGTGAATATACACATCGCCAAAATTCTTGGACCCCCCTCGTAAATGTTAAAACGAAATATTTATCATAGCTGCTTTTTGTGCATTTGATCTTTATTTATTTCAACAATTTTAGATACCAATGTTCAAAATGTGGTTCATACCGATTTAGCGTGTTTAAGTGATTGTTGAGTTATTCTTTGCAATTATACCTGGCAATAGAATTTCAGTATTCAATAAAACAAGAATAGTGGCTTTTCATGATGGGGGTCTGCCGAATCATCGAATCGCGGATAGACTAGGGATTCCCCGCGCTTCAGTTATAGTGCGTTTGTACCAGGAAACTAACAACGTTGACTGGAGATGTGGGAGTGGGCATCCTAGGGCAACTAATGCAAGAGAAGAACGGTATGTAGTAGATTATGTACGTCGGAATCGAACCATAACAGTTTCAGCTGTCAATTCATTTCCAGCTGTCAATTCATTTCCAGTGGCATAATACGGCGGAGACTTGCTGGAGCCAATTTGCGATCTAGAAAACTATTGAAAGTACCCAGGTTACTTCCCAGACATAGCCGCTTGTCTACAGTGGACACAGGAACACAGAGACTGGCTTTTAGCTCAGTGGCGAAATGTCCTTTTTTCGGAAGAAACCAGATTTGGTTTAATTAGTGATAGTCGGCGACACAAAGTTTGGAGAAGGCCAACGCGACCAGAAAGACTATCTTTTGCCAGAGAAGTCGTTCCATACCAAGAACGAACAGTAATGTTTTAAGGAGGCATATTGCATGGTCGTCGTACGCAGCTTATTCACATTCCAGAAACTATGACAGTGGATAAATATGTTCGAAACATGATTGAACCCATTATTTATTCTTTTCAAAATGAAATTGGAGCCAATTTCATTTTCATGGATAACAATACTGGCCCTATCGCAAGAGAAGAGTACAAAATGCAAAAGAGATTCAGAATATTAAAAGATTATCGTGGTCCACAAATTCGCCAGACATGAATCCCATTGGGCACATGTGGGATTTCGCTGGACGAGCAATCTTAAACAGAATTAATCCTCCTATTACCCTCCAGGAACTCACAGTCGCGGCCCAAGAAGAATGGAATATCCCAATGAATACCATTAACGCCATTATTGTTTACATGTTTACAAGAAGGAGTGCCAGAAGAAGATGACAATGATATTAATGGCGACGTTGAGCTACCTCTTCGCCAACGGGGACAAGAAGTGAGAAGAAATTTGAGCATTGTAATAAACAACTTTGACAATTAAATTAGCCGTTGAAGCTCTTTGGTTGCGAGTCCTTTCGTTTCATTGGTTTCGTACTTTTCTATTGGTGTTTTTTTTTTCTTGTTGGCAGAGGAGATTCGACAGTTTTGGTACTACTAGATTGTGGTTTGATGGCTGTTTCAGTCTCTTTTCGCGTAGTAGAAGCTTCACTTACTCTATGCTGAGTAGATCCATCTTTAATACCAACTTGCAGTGCGCCTCCGATTTTTCCAATTGTAGGATTACTGTCGCCCTCCATAGCCTTCAATAACTTTTTCTCCCATTCCAACAGTTTGATTGGTTTATTTCCAGTTTTATTCAAGTCTGTTTTTTTCTTTAACCTTCCTTTCATATTGTTTATTTTCTTTAAAAAGCCTTTTGAATCCAGTGCTTTACCAAATGTTACCTCGTACTTCCTGGTAACATTTCTAATAGCCTCCTCATCCTTTCTAGCTTTTATTTTTGGTGTTTGAGATTTTTCCAAAATTACGGGGACATTGGCAATTTCATCTGCTATAAACTGCAGTTCGGTTGTAGCATTATCTTTTTCTGTACTTTCACTATCGCTGCTTGACGAATACATCTTCTCTGATCGAATTATACTGCATTTATTAAATTAAATTAACTCCGATAAGAAAGAAATACCGTAAATAAACAAACCATCGAAAACAGGTTTTAATCTGCCGCGGCACGCACAATCTTTTACTTATTCTTGGAGGATATCCTTGCAAGTATAAGGTAATCATTATGAATACGAAGAAAAGGAAATGCTTATACTCCTACCTTTTTCTTCAACTTAAAACCTTATACTTACAAGGATATCCTTTAGTTTTATGAATACGGCCCAATAATTTATCTCAAATACTTATTTTTTATATCAACAAGCACTATTTATGTCACAATACTTATACTCCTATACTAATTTGTATTGTCAATTTATCTTTACACAACAAAATCTATCAATTAAATAATTTGTATCGTTCCAGTCCTTTCCCAAAGACTCTTGCTGCTCTAGATTCGACTGTACCATAATAATAGTCCAATTAAATAACGAAAAAAAGCCCCTTCGAGCTTATTAATTTGTAATTGGATGAAACAATGTATTTTGATGTGATCTTTCCGAAAAAAAGCAATAAAAGATGTAGCTGTCGTTCAATTTTTTTTAAATTAGGAAAAATCGGGTTTTCCGGAAATTTCCATGGTAAAAATGCTAATTATCTGGGCAAGTATCATTCCGATAGTAAAAATAAATGCACCAATCGAAAGAGGAGATAAAAATAGTTCGGAAATTCATTGCACAGGTAGTTTTAATGGCGAATTTCTCGCCGTCAGAAGTGCCTTTACCAAAAATTTTTTTCGTTTCTTCGATCAGAACCATGGACATTTTTTTCCCATATGATTTTCTCCGAGTTTTCAGAAAACATTAACAAAAAAATATATTTGAAAAAACTAACTTCGCTATCGGAAAGAGCACAAAAAAATATACAAAAAGGTATACTTTAAAAATGTTAGGAAATTAATCCTAAGCCTGAGTGTAAGTTCCAACTTGGTGATAAGCTTGTTTTTTGTTCTCTAACATCTGGTTTTTAGTTATTTACAAGAAAACTTGAAATGGGAGAAGATATATATGCATGACAAAAATACGTATTTTCTAGTTACGTTCCGAATGCGACGGGTTGGGTGGCGAAATCTGCAATACTTTTTGAAAAAATTACAAAACAATTATAGCACTGTGATAGAACTTTCTTAATTTAGGAACGTACTTACTCTGTACATATAGCTTGCTGAACACGGTTATTAAAAATCTATGCCGATGAACACTATTAAGCGATTCAATTTGTAATAATATGACCGTTTGAAGTTTAAACTTGTCGGATAGCGAACGCCGAGACCATGACTATCCTTGATGCGACGTGCGGCTAATTTTGTGGTAATTCTATATTTTGCACAAAACTCAAGAAACATCTTATAACAAGTCAGTAAAATACAATTTAATAAATTTTAAACCTAATAAATTAAGGTATTTAAGAAATTTAAAACTGGAAATCCCAAAAA